TCCATCCATACATCCTTCCATCTACCCATCCATCCTCTCGTCCACCCATATATCATATCATCCATTCATCCCGATCCACTCAGCCTATTAATCAATTTGTCCATCCATTCATCGCTCCCTGCGTTTCTTTGCACACATACCCGATGTACAATACATCATTATCTCAGGAAACACGATGTTGTTGCGCGTGGGCTCGATTGCTACTTTATAACAATCATCCTTACTGCTTTACTTGCTTGATGACAGTAAGAGAGAATCATCACAGTATGAGACCCTTGTTTTTACCTGTTTAAATCCCCGGCTCTCTAGCGTAGCTGGCTAAACCCGAATGCGCGGTGAGCGGGTGACGAACTCCTTGTGGTCCGGGTTCACTCCCGGTGGTAGGCATAAAAGCCACATTTCTCCCAGTTTTACGGTATTTAAAATGGAATCAAGGCTGAAAGGTTGCGATATCTATAATACCGAGCCTAAGGGTTAACAACTCATGGCTTCTGGATACTACAACAAACCTGTTTAAATATATCAGCATACATATAGGCAGATCCATCCATCCATCTACCATTGCATCTATCTACGAACGTAACTATCGTCCCGCCCATTCATCTACCCACACCATTTATCCCATCGTCCACTCAATGCTATTTTTCACCGCTTCCTTCCATTATGGCTGTTACCAGCTTTGCACTTGGGCTCGACTAATACTTTGTATAAAAATCACCCTTACTGTCTCTATTTGATAGCTGACAGTAAGAGAGAAGCACTAGACTCATGTTGTTACCTGATCTCATATTTGGTCGATCCATCCATCTATCTACCATTCCATTCATCCACTAATACAATCATCCATCATTCCATCCATTCATCTACCCACCCATCTATCCAGGACACACTCACCCATTCACTCCACCATCCACACATGAAGTTTTCCCATCTCGGGCTCGACTGATTTCTTTTGTATAACAAGCATCCTTACTGTCTCTATTTGAAAGCTGACAGTAAGAAAGAAGCATCTTATCACGAGACCCCTAATTTCACCCGATTCTATATATTAGAAATTCCATTCATCCACACATATAGCCATCCTTTACCCATCCACTCATCTACCCAAACATCTATCTCACCACCTACTCGCCCACTCACCTCACCATCCACCCTAGCTATTTTTCCATGGCTCCCTTACATTCTGTTTTTTTTAACCAGTTCTGCGCTCGGTTCGACTGATACTTTGTATAACAATCACCCTTACCGTCTCTATTTCATTGCTGACAGTAAGTGAGAAGCATCGTGTCTTGAGACCCTTGTCTTTACCTGATTTCATATATCAGCCAATCCATCCATCCACAAGTATAGCCATAATTACGTCTATTTGTCTACCCACTCATCCATTCACCCCACCATCCACGATCTAATCTATCTATCTATCTATCTATCTATCTATCTATCTATCTATCTATCTATCTATCTATCTATCTATCTATCTATCTATCTATCTATCTATCTATCTATCTATCTATCTATCTATATCTATCTATCTATCTATCTATCTATCTATCTATCTATCTATCTATCTATCTATCTATCTATCTATCTATCTATCTATCTATCTATCTATCTATCTATCTATCTATCTATCTATCTATCTATCTATCTATCTATCTATCTATCTATCTATCTATCTATCTATCTATCTATCTATCTATCTATCTATCTATCTATCTATCTATCTATCTATCTATCTATCTATCTATCTATCTATCTATCTATCTATCTATCTATCTATCTATCTATCTATCTATCTATCTATCTATCTATCTATCTATCTATCTATCTATCTATCTATCTATCTATCTATCTATCTATCTATCTATCTATCTATCTATCTATCTATCTATCTATCTATCTATCTATCTATCTATCTATCTATCTATCTATCTATCTATCTATCTATCTATCTATCTATCTATCTATCTATCTATCTATCTATCTATCTATCTACCTATCTATCTACCTACCTATCTACCTACCTATCTACCTACCTATCTACCTACCTATCTATCTATCTATCTATCTATCTATCTATCTATCTATCTATCTATCTATCTATCTATCTATCTATCTATCTATCTATCTATCTATCTATCTATCTATCTATCTATCTATCTATATATCTATCTATCTATCTATCTATCTATCTATCTATCTATCTATCTATCTATCTATCTATCTATCTATCTATCTATCTATCTATCTATCTATCTATCTATCTATCTATCTATCTATCTATCTATCTATCTATCTATCTATCTATCTATCTATCTATCTATCTATCTATCTATCTATCTATCTATCTATCTATCTATCTATCTATCTATCTATCTATCTATCTATCTATCTATCTATCTATCTATCTGTCTGTCTGTCTGTCTGTCTGTCTGTCTGTCTGTCTGTCTGTCTGTCTGTCTGTCTGTCTGTCTGTCTGTCTGTCTGTCTGTCTGTCTGT